AGTGTCTTCATCGAAGAATTCCGATTGCAGTTTGAGAGAGGGACGGTATAATCCTATATCAAATTGTAAAATGTATGCCCAGAGATAATAAATTGAAAATAAAAGGCACATCGCCATATGAAATGGCATGATAACGCCTTTTTTTGAAAGGCTATATTCATTTTTTTTGTTTTTTTGGGGGGGAGAAACGAACCCTTAACCAAATTAACAAAATCGTGTCCTGATGGTCAATATGTCAGCCCTGGGAGTGGTCTATGTTAGTCATGTATTGAAAATAAAAATTACCTTTATAATATCGATTTATAAGTTCCTCATTTTGAAATTATTTGGATGCGTTGGTCATAGATTAAAATTCATATCCTTTTGCAAATCAACGTGAACTCATATTTATAACTTGTAAAATAACACCTTTTAGAAAAGGCGTAATTACGCTTTTTGAAAACTAATTTAACGCGTTTTTGAAAAAACGAAATAACGCCACCTTGAAAATGCGTTAAAACACGTATTAGCTTCGCATTTTCGAAAAAAAAAACACGTAATAACTCCCTCCTGAAAAGGGGGGTATTAAGGTATTCAATGTATAATGAAGGGATTTTGAACGATTTTAAAAAGCATCGCTCGATAACGATAAAAGTGAAATGAACCAAATTCACAGGACTGATAACATGTAAGGAAACAGTCATTTTGCATGTTAAAAGTTTTGGAAGAGTTATCTGCCCTTGATGAAATGAAGAATTTTTTTGATTTCTCAAAATTGATGTGGTAAATAATTTATTTTATTTCATAGATTAATAAAGAGGGAGTTTATGAATATTTTCACCAAAAGATTTATTTACATTATCTGATAAAAACATGCGCTGCCCATAGACTTTAATGTAAAATTTAAGATGCAATTAATTGTACAATAATCAACATTTTGTAAATTCCTTTGGTGGAGCATTTTTATTTAATAACATCTTCAAAATGCTACCATGATTAAGAATATCTGATCATTCAATTATTAGGTACAAAATACGGTCGTTATACATTGAATAACGTAACACCTTTTTTGAAAAAGCTTAGTAACGCCTTCTTAGAAATATAACGTTATTTTGAAAATGCATTATAAAACGTTTTCACTTAGCGTTATTAAGCTTTTTGTCCACCGCTTTCACGAAAGTGATTGACATTAAAATCTCAATCGTTTGTCAATCCATTGTCACAAACATTTTAATCTTGGCCATAATTATGTTTATATCAATAAGAAGAGAAAGGGCTTTCATTCATATTTCGCAAGTACATTACCTGTGACAAGACTTTTCCAAATATACTACGATTTTTGACCCTGTGACCTTGTCCTTGGAGTTCGACCTACTTTTCAAATAATTTTAAATTGGTTATAACTTTTGAAAGAGAATATACAGTAATATAATATGATTACTTAAAGTTTTGAATGGCATATAATAGGGCATTCATATTTGACACAATATGCCAGAAATAATGGCATCTCATCAACTAAGACCTAGCTGCAGATCTGTAGCGTTATGGTTTTATATATTTGTCTTTGACCATAACGCTACAGATCCCGTAATGCAAAAAAGGTGCAATTTACGACGCAATATTTTTTGCACAGTTTGGGGGAGAATTTCTCCACTTTCTAACTTTGGTCATAGCTTTTTTGCATTACGGGATCTGTAGCGTTATTGCCAAAGACAAATAATTATATAAAACCAGATCTGCAGCTAACTAAGACCATGAAAGCGGGGAACTACAGTTCTTTGAAGAACTGCGAACGATAGTATTGTTCTCCTGCCTACCTCTATGTCAATTTTCAAAGTTAAGATATTCAATTGATTTTTAATATTTATGTTGATATTTATATGGACTGTTGTAAAAACATTGCTTATTTCGGAAAACCACGAGTGCCAACTCTAAAAGTTTGGTAAAAGTCGTGTTTTTTACTATAGAAATCAACGGAAAACGGAAAATATTTTACCCCCCCCCCCCGTGAAACAAACATTCCTGTTTACGGGTAAAATGGACTGTAATTTCACAAATTCCTACCAAAGATTTTTGTGTTCCATAAGGGGGAACATATGTTTATAGACAAAAAGTGACAAAAACACTTATTTTTTTCAGCGATTTCCAAGTACTTTACAACTGAAACATTGTATTTTACTAAAATATATGCTTAATTTTATATGCATAAAATGTAAGTAGACTTAAGAAACGTTCATACCCCCCCCCTTTATTTCAAGAGCTGGAAATAGGGATTTTTTACTATTCAGCACTGGTATTAAAGTAATCAATCAATTTAATACCACTGAACTGTTCTTTGTATTAAATAAAGGTTTTATGACCATATTGTCATAAATAATAAATGGTTATAAAATGTATGCGGGAATCGAGAGTTAGCTTTGCTTGTAATATTTTCTTTACAATGCCTTTGTTTCGCGTTATGCTTTTTTTCGCCTAATATTGCCCTTTTCACTCAGAGGAGCCTTGCATTTTTACGCTTTTTTTTTTACCCGCGTCATACACTTGCAAGTCTTTTGGTCTTTTCCCGTGTATTGCTTCATCATGCCCTGGAACATCTGCAAACGAGGATTTATAATTTTTATGCCCCCGTAATCGAACATTCAGGGATATATATTTTATCTGTCCGTCTGTCTGTCTGTTTGTCCGCAAACACATTACCCGTAATTATTGACGGTAAGGAGCTATGGCTTTCATATTCTTGTGTTAAGATCGTTTTTGGGTACCTCCAAATTTGACCTCTTAACCTCCGTAATCGAAGGGGATATATAGTTTTTGTCCTGAGCGTCCGTCTTTTTTATCTGTTGTCCGCAACAGAGTTATGGCTTTCATATTTCACAACTGTGTTTCAGATCTTTTCTTGGGTACCACCATATTTGACCTCTTAACCATTGGAATTCGACCAACTTTTACACAAATACCAAACTTTAACCTTGGCCATAAATTTTGAACAGTTCGTGCTAGGGCTTTCATATTTCACAGATTTATTTCTTATGATAAGACCCACCTTTGGATACCAACAATTTTGACCTTGGGGTGTGACTTACTGGGTCTTTCATATTTCATAGGTGTATTCCTTGTGACACACCAATAATTTGACCTTTGGACCTTGACTTTGGAGTTTGATTTGAATTTGCAAAATTTCAACCTTCACCACAGGCTGCCATACGGGGGCATCAGTGCTCAAACACACATCTTTCTTTTACAGTGTGTTATACCTCTGTTACAATGGTTGGAATTGTTCTTGTTTATATTTGATACAAGAGCCTTTGCAATATATACTATCGTAATATGATCATTTTATTATTTTTCCTGCATAGAGAAAATTCGGAAGTGGGGTTGGGGGTGGCATTCTCAGTCTGAAGGGAAGATTTGAGTCCAAAATGACATAATATTTACGATATATAGTCTAACATTAGCTTTATACCCATTTTCTAAACCAAACTTGAATGTATACTAATATGATTAGCAGTATCCATATCATTCCAATGATCCTCTATCTTGCCAAATTTTGGTTTGAGGGAGAGGGCAGGGGTAGAGGGAGGGCATGTTTTGAACAATTTTAAAAAGATGAACAAGATGTGTAAGTGAAACACTGATGCCCCTGTATGGCAGCTATGATAAAGTTAAACTCCAAGGTCAAAATTGTTGATATCCATACAAAGAAAAGTCTTCTTGAAATGAATATACCTGTGAAATATGAAAGCCTTAGCACGAACACTTCAAAAGTTATGGTCAGATTAAAGTTTCTTTTAAGTGGGTCAAACTCTAAGGTCATGGTCAAAAATATTTACACTAATTGAAAGGTCTTGTCACAATGAATTATACACATATGAAGTGTAAAAGCCTTACACCAACTGTACATAAGTTATAGCCAAGGTTAAAGTTTGGTATTTTTTTTGTAAAAGTTGGTCAAAATCAAAGATCAAGAGGTCAAATTTGGTGGTACCCAAAGAAAGGTCTTGTCACAAGGAATACACCTGTGAAATATGAAAGCCATAATCCTATCCAGTCAAAAGTAATGGGCAAGTTCAAGTTTTTACGGACAAAAAAGCTAGACAGACAGACAGACAGACAGAAAGACAAGGCAAAACCTATATACCCCGAATCTTTGATTACAGGGGCATAAAAATAAAGATGATTCAAGCATTATTATACCCACATTTCTATAGTACCAGTAGTCATTTCATCCTTTGAAATGTGCAGTGTGTCCTGTTGATGTGCAATAAGGCTTTAAAGTTGATATTTGAACCCTTGAGACTAATTGGGATCATTAAGATTTTTTCTAGCACCCCCCCCCCCAGCACCAAAAAAAAACCCACATAGTCTCTTTAAATATAAGCAGTAGATAATTCATCCTAGATACAATAGGTTGTTTCTGTTTTATTTACATGTATTTTAATGGTTATAGTATATCTTTTTTTTTGGGGGGGGGGGGGTTGTTGTTATCCTGGTGGGCAAATTTGGGTTAAAAAAAAGACTTTTCACGGCTAAGCTCTTTTTACATATAAGTAAAGGTCAACTCGTCTTTTGGATTATTATAGACGTGTCCTGTTGATGTGGAATAAGGTTTAAAATTTTAATTTTACCAAGGCCCTATGGGAGGTAAGAAAAGAGAAATTTTCTAAATCTGTTTTTCTCACACTCCAGTATTACATGTAGCATTAGCCAGTAGTTGTGTCCTTATCATATGCAACAAAGCTTCAAAATTTTAGATTTTGCCCTAGAGGCCAATTTGGTGTAGAAAAAAATATGTCTTTTTCCCCTATACTCCCTTTTTAACATAATTATTGCTTCATAAAATTACTGTACATGTATTAATTTTTTGTTTTCAGACTTTTTATGAATTTGTTGCATGAAATACTAACATAAAAGACTGTTTAATGCAAATTGTGGACTGGTCTTCTTCCACATAAGCTAATGGATTTGGTGTTGGGAAACACGTTTCTTATATGAATAGATTAAATTTCTTTGTGTAAGAACTGTTCTTGGTTAATTTTTAATAATCTTTAAAAAAAATTCCTATAGAAAAGCAAATGGAAAAAAAATGCTACAATCATAAATCTACACACAGCTCCAGACTGGGATTAAAGAGGATGTACAATAATAAATTAAAAAAATCACAGACTCTTTGATTGCTTAATAAGGTACACAAAACTCACTGTCATTCTAACTAAAATTAATTAACTTTAAATAAATAAAGATACATGTATTCATAAAACATCAAGAAATATTCAAGTCATTGGTAAACAGCAAAATCTTAGAAACAAGGAATTCTGACTTTTTAACATTTTTGATTGTCATGATCCTCATTTGAATTCTTTGATATCATCCAGATTTGAGACCCTTCTCTTGGTCCCCATAGAGAAGCTACAGTTCTTCATGTTTATGATGCTGTCCATAGAACTGATAGACATAAGCTCCTGGCGCTGGACTTCTGAGAATTTACCATAACTGTCCACAATCCTAAAAGCCTCCAGGAATTCATTAAAGTCTATTTTTCCATCATGGTTTAAGTCAATGCTCTTTGCTATGTCTGAGATTTGATCCAGTGGACAGTTCACATTCTGCTGTTTCACAAGGAGTTGGATAACTTCGTTAAATTCCTCCATTGAAATTTGTCCTTTAAATTAATAACAAAATTGAACAAAAAAACTTATTTAATAATAAAGCTATTCTTACTACATTGTAATGTAGAATTATACTGTTTTTTCTTCCTTTTTTAAATACTGTAGATGAACTTTTTTCCGCATGGGATCAATTTCCTCTATGTACGCGGACATAATTTTTCCGCGGAAATTTGTCACAGCGTACTAAAGATTCATTAGGGACATATAATGACAATCCAAGATATCCATGTAATTTCATGACTTGCGCATTGAATAGAAATTTTGTTTCCGCTGAATTATGACCCCGTGGAATAAAGTACTTTTACAGTATTATGAGCTTTTAAAATTAAGCAATTTAAATACAAAGTTATATGTATGACTAATTTCATATTGGATTCTGTACCTGACAATTTATGTCTTTTTCAATTGGGAAAAAAATTTGAACTCTGACCCCCTCTCGCTATCTCTCTCTCCTTAATGAAATCTTCAAAGCTACTCAAGAAATCTATTAACCTGAATTATCTCTATCCAGAATCCTAAACAGACTCTCCAGGTTGTCTTTCTGTCTGTACAGCATCTCTGTCACTGTAGGACCATTCTGTCAAATAAATGTTACTCAGCTTTATTTTAATGTCAACCACCTTCGTACAACAACCAATTAATCTAAGACTATTAAAATTTCAGATAACCTGCATGGGGTTAAAAATCTTAAATTGTCCAATGCCTATAGTTTTAACTGGAAATTTCTGCGTGACGTACATGTAGTTCTTTTAAAGAATGAGAGATACTTTTGTGTTTACTTCTCAAAATCATTAATAGCAATGAATGATACAATATATATGCTTATAGTGTACCCCACTGTAGCGGTGATAAATTCTCATCTCTTCAAATGTTGTATCATACGCCACCATTCCCTTCTCATCACAGCGTGCTAGCTTGGGTCTCAGAGTTCTCCAGGGAAGGTCCATCCCTAGAATACTCCCCATCACTGTACACCAATCATGCTGGGTCACTTTTCCTGTCAATACAATACAAATTATAACATAATAGTAACCTTCAATTCTTAAAAACCAAACACACATTATCAGTACTAACTCCTCCTGTCCTATCACTGTCATAAAATGGTTTTAATCAGATTGAAACATGATTAAGCATTGGGTTATGATCAAATTGCATTTACATATAATTTTCTTAAGTACCAGGTATGCTTGAGGACCTCTCCCCCTCCCCCAATGCTTAGAGCAATTCTTTTTATGCAACATTGCATTTATCCACTGTTGGTAACCCACTTTGCTTAAACTTCTCTCTGATAAAGAGAGGAACAAATTGTAATCACTGAAAGTTTCCTAACATTAATCTAAAGACGTTAGAGGGTCATTGTTAATTGCAACCTTCAATTCCTAATGAAATGTTAATAACCTGTCTTTTCAGGGTCTAGTTTGTGGAACTCCTCCAAAAATTCTGACTTAGAGCCGAGAATTTTCTCTCTCAGATTGACGATGGCCGAGGACTCGACTTTTGTGACTCGCTGAGCAAAGGTGACCTTTCTGTTGGCTCCTTTACTGGTCATGTACTGGACAAGCTGGTACTCCAGGTCTGATCCATGCAGCTTCACATAGGCTCCTTTGTTACTTCCCTCTTCATAATAGTTAGAGGCAGAAAATATGGTTAATACCTACAACAAATGATTCCATACTAGTCTTCTGACCATCCTACAGCAAGACTAGTGAGTCAAGCTAAATTATAGTAATCTATAATTCATGATTTCAAGTACAAGATTCAGATCAGTTTCAAAAGGATTTTATTGCATGGTTCTAATAATGATTATTAATTGTATTATTTTTGCATTTAATGTGTGAAAAGAATGATGGAAAAAAAATTCAAAAGTTTTAAAAACAATGAATGTGCTAAATGAAATGTTAATCTGTACACAAACCTTATTGTTATGTGTGAATTCATATCCATCAGGTTTACATTCGTGTGAGCGAATAATTCGTTTAAGTTTGTGTTTTGTCAGTATATAGTCTGTAATATCTGGACCAAAATAACTTCCTCCTCCTCGAAATGTGTTGTCATGACAACCATGCTTAGCTCGAGGATCACTCCATAGTATGTCTAAAATCTAAAAATAATTCATCATACATTGAACTTAATATTAAGGTATATGTTTAAGGCAGAATGAAAGATCTACATTTATACCATCTCTTATTTGATTATAATAAGTCACACAACCATACAATGTTAGGTCAGATCCTTAGATGTATCATCCATGCAAGTTTGGTCATCAAAGGGTTTATAGTTACTTGGAAATGAAACCAGCACCAAAAACTTTAACCTGTTCACTCATCCAGAAATATAGCTCAGATCCAGCACCTAAAGCAAGCCTGGTAGTGTGTAACATTAGATGTATCATCTATGCAAGTTTAAGCATTGTTTTTTAGTTGCTTTATAGAATGAGACCTGGCCTAGGGGCCATAAAACTGAGGCGAGCTCACTTTTGATCTCAGTCTCACTTTTCCGCTATATATTCCTTTGGAAAAAGTGAGACTGAGATTAAAAGTGAGCTTGTGTAAGCCCCCAGGCCTGCTCCCAAAACTTTTAACTGTTTCAAAAACATTAACATGGTCATTCCTTAGCCAAAATTGTAGCATCTGAAAAATTTACTGGTATTGAGAAACACACTAGAAGCATCTTCCATGCAACACTGGATAATGTAGGGCATAGAAGTACTTTAAATGAAAACTGCTCCAAAAACCTTAACCTGGGACACTGATGCCAAGGGTATCATATAAGCCCCCCCCCAACTTCACTGAGGTGAGCTAATTCAGCAAAAATACAGTGTATTTAGTATTAAACTGTCAAAATATTGCATAGAAACAGGTAGATAACAGACCCATGTACCCCAGTAATAGAAGTGTTATTTTAACCTGATCATTTAGTAAAGTATCACACTGTGAGAATTATTCTTCTTGTCATGGGGTTGATGAACCATAAATGTTGTTTTATCTTTAAAAATTTGTTCCTATACAAATCTATACGAAAAAAACAAAAACATTTTAAATGTTTAATTGAGCAGGCCTAAAAAAATTGATGTTTGAGTGAGATGTTGGACCGCTTACATCACACATCGTTGGTGTTTAACAGTGAAGGACCTGAGGTTTTACATCACGGACGACAGTACAAGATACATGAGTGTAAAAAATAAAATAAAATAAAAGGTATAACAAAACATTCTCGGGCATAATGCGTTTTGTTGACCCTCGAACCAAATTGTCTGCCTTCGGCCTAATGGCCACAGGCAAACAGTTTGGTTCTTGGGTCCAACAAAAGGCATATTGCCATCGAACTCAGTCAATAAACGTATAATGTTCTCTTTAACAGAATTGTTGCAGGAATCAACTGTTAACTTTTTTATGTTACTTGAATTAAAGACATTTTCAATTAAAGCATCATGCCAGTACTGGTACATGTAAAATACATGATACATGTACATTCTTACCAATTTCCATTCGCGGAGTTCGGTATCACTTAATTTTGATGTGTCATTTCCCCCTCTTGGTGGATGTAAAATTGAAAGAAACTGAAATTGAAAGGACTTGTATTGATATAAAAACAGAAACATTTAGATTGGACTAAATTATACAAATCCTATAAAATCATATCTTTTGGAAAAGATTATAATTGCTGAATAAAAACAGTTATAGCTAAGTCAGAGTATAAATGTAAGTGATTATTTTTATGTTAAATGGGTTCAATATGATTCTTTTGGACATGATCTTTTTCTATGCCAATTAATATTTTCCTGTTCAAGATTTTTTTCCAGTGAAAAAAGCAGAACACTTTGAAATGTTTTGTTTTTATTGTTATCTCAAAAGCAAAGTGTTCTATTGCTACATACTGTGAAACCAATATAATTATCATGGGGTTTAAATGTTCCTGGTTTTCAAGGTATGAAGAGATCCACAAATTTATGTCCACCATGAAATGTAATTTTTCATGTATATATTACTACTCAACAGTTTTTCATCCACGAAATTAAATCCCCACGAACATATATCTTTTTTCTCAAACCACCAAAATTTGACCCCACGAAAATATGTGATTTTACAGTATATTGCCCGTCTAAACAATATACCTTGTGTCTATCTATGGTTGCCAGGAAATTAAGGTCCAATGTGTCTGAAACACCTCCGTGAACAACAAGGATTTTGTAGTCCACAATGGTTGCTATTGGTAACCAGCTAAACACATCCTCAAACAGATGGATGACTTTGCTTGCATGTATCTATTCTCAAAAGTCAGAGAGAGAACAACTTAATGAAAAGGTCAAATTCTATATTAAAGTTTAATGCATTGTACAATGAAATCTTCAAGTTGATGACAGTTTAAAATTACGTCAGGTTATTCACAACAGAGTTGACAAACTTTTCTTTAAATTTCAAGGTCAAACCTCATTCACTTTAATTTAAATTCAATGGTAGTATCACTATTATTTTACCTTTATCTATCTATATTTATAGATTTTAAGAGAGTATGTATTACTCTTAATACATGTACACTTGTATTTTAAAAACATGTTATCAGATTTGAGAATGTTATTCTAAACACTTACAGAGTATTTTTTCACCAGCTCTTTAACAAAACCATATCTAAAAAAGAGTAAAGAAATTTAATTAAAACAAAATATCCAATTGTTTTGGAATATGTCAGTAACATTTGATTAATTAATAAATAATATTCATTTTTATTCTTACATTGACTCAATATACTATATCCAACTGAACTTGAAATGAAAGACACCAGAGAGTTTGACACATCTGTTTCATATTATAATACAATGTATTGTACTAGAGAGAGACACTGATAGCATACTGACAACTTAACATGGCAACTTCAACCTTTTTATAGCCAACTTCCCTTTTTATGTAGCAATATACAATAATTAGATAGTTATTGCGTCTAATTGTCTCCAAGTTGATTAAATATGCTAGAGAATGTTCTACATATGATCAATTTCTAAAATGAGGTAAGACTATTGTCAAAAAAGTTGATGATACAAGGATATCAATGTTCTTGTTTGATAATGGAGTCTTCTACTCCTCAGGGATTAACATAGTACAGTATAGTAAATAAAAATTGTTTTGTATGATCACAGATATAGCACAGTTATCAATATTTTGAAATTTTTGGAGATAACCATAAAAATTTTCAGCAATTCCTTTTCAAATTGAATAGCTATAACAAACTTTGATATAGCTGTTTATGGATATAGTGAACCATTTTTTTGACTGTAGAGATTAAAAATAACAAAATTTACATTTTTTATACAAATAATAATATCAACTTTTTAGACTAACATTACTTTTTACCAGTATTAATATTAAAAATCAATTCATTTGAAAACTGTAGAATTCCAAGAAAAGTTTTGTGTGCAATACTTCTCAGGGTATATTTGGTAGTTATATGTGAAAGAACATTGTAATTGTGAATTTGCAGGTCTCTGAAACTTCTTATAACCAGGTTTTACTTAGTTAGTTCATACCTGTCAATTGAATTGTTTCTAAGATATTGATCTTCTGACTGACTGACTGACAGACCAACACTGACCAACATATTGACCATACCTTAGGTTCATCACATGGTCTTCATGGTTTCCACGGTTAAGATAAACTTCATTTTTGTTGATTAGAAAACATACAAAGAGAATCACAGCAATTTCTACAGAGTTACGCCCCCTGTCCACAAAATCTCCATTGAATATATAAGGGTTGTGTACAGATGGAAGACCATTCTGAAAAAAAAAATATTGAAGGATTTTTTTTTTATTTGCCTTGTTCTTATGACCTCGGGTTAATGTCAAGGCAAACTTTTAGTTCATCAGTAAATTTTTGTGTCAAGTATGAGCTTCAAATGCTGTTATGAAGGTAACAACTGCGCCATTTTCAGAAACCCAAGGTCAGGCTTGCTTCTCTTCCCCTGAGACAAGAGAAGCAAAACCGACAGTGGCTTTCCAATGATCCAACTGGATACATTTGTGCCAGTTGTTTTAAACTTGACCACATGATCTTGGAAAAGATTTTTTTTTGGACAATTTTGAGTCATTATTATTCTTTTCATTTCAAATATTATGGCCAAACAAAGTTTATGCTTTTTCCTCTGCAAGTATACTGAAGTTTCCATCACAGAATTGGGTTAAGGACCTCCAATATTTCTTCATTACAAAAGAGTTATTGCCCAGATAGGAGGTAAAGATGTTTCAGCTAGTGATAATGAATTTGTGTAAGTGACCTTATATAAAGTCTCTTTGATCCTTGGATAAGAGAGATAACTCCTATTTTGAAAAATTTTGCTTCAAAACAGTGAAAAAAAATTTATTACCATAGTTAAAAGAATTACTTTACCTTGTGAAAAATCATGTAGAGATCATCTAGTTTCCCATGAAGATCCCCACAGACTGTTATTTGCTTTGAGATCGAGGTAGTGGCATAGTTAATATTGGCTTTTTGCTTTAATGCAGTGCGAGTCTCAAGTAAAAGTTGAATCAGGTATTTGGCATGCAGTGGCTGAAAGATATCAGTAAAATGTTTAATGCAGGAATTTGTGATTTCACCCATAAAGTACTTCATATCATTTAAAAGAGACGCATAGGCCACAACTCTTCTTACCCTAATTTTTATTTTTTAAAAAATTATCTAATATTTATATATTAGTTTTTTTATGCATTCAACTGATTATCAGGTATATACCAATTAAGACTGGTGATTCAAACTTGTAATTGGAATTCTCCTGCCTGCCTGCAATTTGGAATGGAAAAAAATCTAGCTGACTGATAAATGTGATCAACCTGAGGCTCTATCTATCCTGTGTTGTCATACATTCTATGGAAGTGGGCTGTTTGGTGTTGATACAGTTTTATTGTTGAACTTAGGTGATCACTATATCTAGCCATTAAAGAACCAATGAAAATAAGCCTGGATTCTTTAGACTAGCTGATATGTTTGTTGGATGGCTTTGGTGTTTGTGAAGCTTTTTCAGTAGGATATCTATAAGGATTTCTAATAGACATTGACAATAATTAGGGCCATTTATATGTAGTGAGTCCTTCATGCACTGACTGAACTCCATTAATATTTTTAGAGTTTGAATTTTTCATGACAGCTCCTGTGGCCTAAAGAAGATGCCTACTGATTTTGAGATAAAAGGTTTAGTAAAGGCTTAAGTTTGTTTTGTGTAAATTTTGACAATGTAGAATGCGATATAAACATGTATATATGTGACCTACTGTTTGCATTGAATTCAGCATAAAGTAAGTACATGTACCTCAATATCAATACACTAAGCATGACCCTAATTTTCTAGAGGATGAAATTTAAGATTTTCATATATATTCCCATGTAAAACTTTGATACCTATTGATGTAGCACACTACCTCAAAAATATTGAAAAATACTCCCCATCTTTCCATTTGATGTTTCAATTTCAGTAGCGATGTCAAGCACAGACTATGTCAGCAGTCAACGTCCATCAACACTTCATTTGTCTATGAGGAAAGCCAGGCCCTCCAAAAGGTGGCTACACCTTTAATCAACCTCCATGGAAGTTCTATTTTTCTTAAATTTCTCATGTCACTGGAAAACCAACTGCTTAATGCATTTTTCTCCAGTCTTTTTTAGTAGTTTAAGCGTTTTAAGTCAGAGTGTTCCCCGGGATATTTCACAAAACATATAACTCAACAGAAACATTATCTAACAATTTATCATTTAAAAAATCAACAAGTGACTTATATTCTCATTTGTAATTTTCAACCACTTTCACGGATAAATAAATAAAATATGAAGAAATTCCATGAACTTTGCAGGAGTTAAAATATTTTTTTTTAATACCTTAACTTATATCATTTGCAGTTCTCATATCTCTGCTTGGTCTTTTTAAGTACTGTTAATCATTTTTTATTTGTGAAAATTTTATTTTTGCATAATTACGTGAGATAGTTTTCTCACGAAAATTTCATTCTTGAGTATAATAGCATTTCTTAAGATAATATAGCAAACTAGAACTGTCCAAAAGGGACAAAATACCCCCTGCTGGGTTTTTCAGAGGTGCCAAATCATGAATATTGTATGGATCTAAGAGAAGAGAGAAATGCTAAAACATTTTTAGTGCAAATGTAATTGCTCATTATATTCTTTTTATGAATGAAACGGAGGTGCAGCCTAATAAAAGAAAAATAAAGACTAAAGATACAGACCAGACACAAATTATGAACTATTTCTTTCAGTGACCTTGAACTTAAATGACCTTGGCTAAAGGTCATAACACACCCTCAGGTCATAAGCCATCTTTGTGTAAAACAGGAACTTACCAAGTTTTTCCATAAGAAAGATATGTATACCAAACATGAATGATGAACTTTTTCTTTCATTGACCTTGAACTTGTATAGATGACCTTGCATCAAGGTCATGACACACCCTTAGGTCATGAGAAATCTTTGTGTGAAAAAGGAACTTACCGAGTTCATCCATAAGCAAGATATGGACCATGTTTTTCTTTCAGTGACCTTGAACTTAAATGACCTTGGCTAAAGGTCATAACACACCCTCAGGTCATAAGCCATCTTTGTGTGAAGTAGTAGATTCAAGTTTTTCCATAATAAAGATATGAACCAAACATGAATTATAAAATTTTTCTTTTAATGACCTTGAACTTGCACAGATGACCTTGGGTCAAGATCATGACACACCCATAGGTCTTGAGCAATCTTTGTTTGAAATGGGAACTTACCAAGTTTATCCATAAGAAAAATATGGACCGGACATGAATTATGAATTTTTTTTTTTCCAGTGACCTTGAACTTCCCCAAATGACCTTGGGTCAAGGTCTTGACACACCCATAGGTCATGAGCAATCTTTGTATGAAATAGGAACTTACCAAGTTTATCCATAAGAAAGAAATGGACCGGACACGAATTATGAAATTTTTCTTCCAGTAACCTTGAACTTCCCCAAATGACCTTGGGTCAAGGTCAAGACACATCCTTAGGTCATGAGCAATCTTTGTGTGCAGTAGTAGATTCTAATGTTCCTCCGTAAGAAAGACATGGACCGGACAGTTTTGCACAGCTAGACAGACAGACAGACAAGGTGATTCCTATATACCTCCCCCCCAAACTTCTTTTGGGGGGTATAAAAACACAGTTTGTGAAAATTTTGTCTCGCTAATAAAGAGTTGATGGCAATCTTGTGAAAATAAGGTGTTGAGAATATTTAGTGATCTACAGTAACAAAACTTGTGAGACATGATGTATCTGCTTGGTTTTGAAGGAGTTAATATTTTGTTTTATATAACTAATAACATTTGCAGGTCTAACATTTATCTTCCTGGTCTTATTTAGTAAGAAAGCTTGTGACATAGTGTACCTGTCTGGTTTTGAGGGAATTGATGAGGCTCTGTAGTTGAGCCTGTGTGACATAGTGTACCAGCTTGGTTTTGAAGGAATTGATAAGGCTCTGTAGTTGAGCCTGTGTGACATATATAGCACACCTGCTTGGTTTTGAAGGAGTTGATGAGGCTCTGGAGTTGAGCCTGTGTGACATAGTGTACCTGCTTGGTTTTGAAGGAGTTGTGAGGCTCTGTAGTTGAGCCTGTGGTGACATATTGTACCTGCTTGGTTTTGAAGGAGTTGATGAGGCTCTGTAGTTGAGCCTGTGTGACATATTGTACCTGCTTGGTTTTGAAGGAGTTGTGAGGCTCTGTAGTTGAGCCTGTGGTGACATATTGTACCTGCTTGGTTTTGAAGGAGTTGATGAGGCTCTGTAGTTGAGCCTGTGTGACATATTGTACCTGCTTGGTTTTGAAGGAGTTGTGAGGCTCTGTAGTTGAGCCTGTGGTGACATATTGTACCTGCTTGGTTTTGAAGGAGTTGATGAGGCTCTGTAGTTGAGCCTGTGTGACATATTGTACCTGCTTGGTTTTGAAGGAGTTGATGAGGCTCTGTAGTTGAGCCTGTGTGAGTGGGAATGTGAGATGGACCCCTCTATAGGAGGACTCGACCTCGATGGAGTCCGGGTCACTTTCCCTCATCAGTACATGGTCCTCCTCCTCTAAGGTTTTGGTATCTAAACAACACAAGACAGTCTGTTATAAAAGTTATAAGAAACATCATTCTATCATTTAACAAATAATATTACAAGTAAATAAAGAATAGAATGATCAGTAGGCCCATGGGCTACAACACTGACCTGAAATATATCTTGCTTGTAATAAAAGTGCTTATGATAAACATTCATGTCAAATTTGGACCCCCATGTTTTTTCACTCCTCACAAACATTTCCTTACCTTTAGAACAACAGATGCCGCATCATAACCTTAGCTAGAAATTTTAAAATTGAAAATTTGTTCATAAACTAAGATAAATATGGTTGGATAGATTTTTGATCGTCGGTAACCCAGCTGTTTATCTTTATTTTGAGTTGGGAATAATCCTCCTGATTTTGACTTTTTATGCATGTATAAAATAAAAGTTTGCATAATAACATCAATTTGTGTCTACATATTGTTCTGGAGAAGAATATTTTCTCACTTTATCTAACTAACAGGGTGAAGGGCCACAGGAGGAAAACATTATTTCTGAGGTTGACGGGTAAAGGACCTGTTTCTTGTGTCTGAATACAAAGCTAATTTTGAGTGGGATGCCTCTGGCATTTGCAAATGAGCAAAACTGTTGATTTCACAGCTGGGGACCATCTTTGTATCTCAAAGTACAAAATTCCATTAAACATTCACACTTACAGACTTGGAAAAAAGACATCTGGCATGTACACAGAACTGGTAAATTGAAATTGTCTCCCAGAAGTCTGTCCTTTTCTATTAGATGTCATTTACATTAACAGCAATAGACCACTGTTCTACTAGTATTAAGGATTGTTTAAAACATTCAATCTATTGCAGATAAGCTTTTTAGCTCACCTGAGCCGAAGGCTCAAGTGAGCTTTTCTGATTACATTTTGTCCGGCGTCCGTCTGTCCGTCTGTCTGTCTGTAAACTTTTCACATTTTCGACTTCTTCTCAAGAACCGCTGGGCCAATTTCAACCAAACTTGCCACAAAGTATCCTTGGGTGAAGGGGATTCAAGTTTGTTCAAATGAAGGGCCACACCCTTATTCAAGGGTAGATAATTGGGAATTAATGAAAATTTAGTGGTATATTTTAAAAATCTTCTTCTCAAGAACCACTGTGCCAGGAAAGATGAAACTTATGGGGAAACATCCTCAGGTAGTGTAGATTCAAGTTTGTTCAAATCATGACCCCCGGGGGTAGGGCGGGGCCAAAATGGCCGACCAAAGTTTTACATAGAAATATATAGGAAAATTCTTTAAAAATCTTCTTCTCAAGAATGACAAAGCCATAATTCATCATATTTATATGGGAGCATGTTCATGTAGTGTAGATTCAAGTTTGTTCAAATCATGACCCCCCGGGTAAGGGCGGGGCCAAAATGGCCGACCAATGTTTTACATAGAAATATATAGGAAAATTCTTAAAAAATCTTCTTCTCAAGAATGACAAAGCCATAATTCATCATATTTATATGGAAACATGCTCAGGTAGTGTAGGTTCAAGTTTGTTCAAATCATGACCCCCGGGGGTAGGGCGAGCCAAAATGGCCGACCAAAGTTTTACATAGAAATATATAGGAAAATTCTTTAAAAATCTTCTTCTCAAGAATGACAAAGCCATAATTCATCATATTTATATAGAATCATGCTCAGGTAGTGTAGATTCAAGTTTGTTCAAATCATGACCCCCGGGGGTAGGGTGGGGCCAAAATGGCCGACCAAAGTTTTACATAGAAATATATAGGAAAATTCTTTAAAAATCTTCTTCTCAAGAATGACAAAGCCATAATTCATCATATTTATATGGAAGCATGCTCAGGTAGTGTAGATTTAAGTTTGTTCAAATCGTGACCCCCGGGGGTAGGGCGGGGCCAAAATGGCCGACCAATGTTTTACATAGAAATATATAGGAAAATTCTTTAAAAAGCTTCTTCTAAAGAATGACAAAGCCATAATTCATCATATTTATATGGAAGCATGCTCAGATAGTGTAGATTCAAGTTTGTTCAAATCATGACCCCCGGGGGTAGGGCGGGGCCAAAATGGCCGACCAAGGTTTTACATAGAGATATATAGGAAAATTCTTTAAAAATCTTCTTCTCAAGAATGACAAAGCCATTATTCATCATATTTATATGGGAGCATGTTCAGGTAGTGTAGATTCAAGTTTGTTCAAATCATGACCCCCGGGGGTAGGGCGGGGCCAAAATGGCCGACCAAGGTTTTACATAGAAATATATAGGAAAATTCTTTAAAAATCTTCTTCTCAAGAATGACAAAGCCATAATTCATCATATTTATATGGGAGCATGTTCAGGTAGTGTAGATTCAAGTTTGTTCAAATCATGACCCCCGGGAGTAGGGCGGGGCCAAAATGGCCGACCAATGTTTTACATAGAAATATATAGGAAAATTCTTTAAAAATCTTCTTCTCAAGAATGACAAAGCCATAATTCATCATATTTATATGGAAACATGCTCAGGTAGTGTAGATTCAAGTTTGTTCAAATCATGACCCCCGGGGGTAGGGCGGGGCCAAAATGGCCGACCAAAGTTTTACATAGAAATATATAGGAAAATTCTTTAAAAATCTTCTTCTCAAGAATGACAAAGCCATAATTCATCATATTTATAAAATTATGGAAACATGCTCAGGTAGTGTAGATTCAAGTTTGTTCAAATCATGACCCCCGGGGGTAGGGCGGGGCCAAAATGGCCGACCAATGTTTTACATAGAAATATATAGGAAAATTCTTTAAAAATCTTCTTCTCAAGAATGACAAAGCCATAATTCATCATATTTATATGGAAGCATGCTCAGGTAGTGTAGATTCAAGTTTGTTCAAATCATGACCCCCGGGGGTAGGGCGGGGCCAAAATGGCCGACCAATGTTTTACATAGAAATATATAGGAAAATTCTTTAAAAAGCTTCTTCTAAAGAATGACAAAGCCATAATTCATCATATTTATATGGAAGCATGCTCAGATAGTGTAGATTCAAGTTTGTTCAAATCATGACCCCCGGGGGTAGGGCGGGGCCAAAATGGCCGACCAAGGTTTTACATAGAGATATATAGGAAAATTCTTTAAAAATCTTCTTCTCAAGAATGACAAAGCCATTATTCATCATATTTATATGGAAGCATGTTCAGGTAGTGTAGATTCAATTTTGTTCAAATCATGACCCCCGGGGGTAGGGCGGGGCCAAAATGGCCGACCAAATTTTTACATAGAAATATATAGGAAAATTCTTTAAAAATCTTCTTCTCAATCATTTTCTAAAAAATAGCAAATCCATGATTGGTCATGGGACTACTTTTGGATTTAAACTTTACAATAAAAAGCCATTTTATACTAGTCCTACCCTTGGTGCTCAGGTGAGCGATGTGGCCCATGGGCCTCTTGTTAATGTTATGAGCCATAACTTAAACAAACCCGAATCTTCACTTTCAAAGGATGTAAGTAATCAAGGCCCTGATTTTTAAAGAAAAATTTTTAATATGTTTTTTAACTGATATGGTTATAAAATATTCAATTCAATAACAAAAGTTCACATGACATAAAGTCTGACATTAAAAAAACTGCACTAGGTAAAAGGTGCAGCTTCCTGTTAAGAAATCAGAAAAAAAATCTTTTAACAAGGAGGGCTTTATTTCCTTTTGTTAACTACATGGAAAAAAGTATTTACCGTGGACCTTCAGATATCCGGATGCTTCAATAACCGGACGATTATTTTTTCATCAGAACGAAAATTCTTAATGTTATTTTGTCTTGTTTAACTGGTGATTCAGATATCCGGATGCTTCACATATCCGGACAAATTGACTTGGAACCAAAGCGTCCGGATAAATGAGGCTCCACTGTACAGATATTAATTAAGCAAGAGTAAAATGCGCTGCAAGAAATTATTCCTCATCTACACTAGTCTATACATGTAATAATGATATAATCACTGTAGTGGCTAGTCAAACCTACCAATTTTTGCCGGTCTTTGAGACACAGACAGAGCTCGGAGTATTTTAGGCTGCCCAATGTCATCTGTGTCCATTTGGCCCAGCATGGTGTTGAAAAAGTTGTAAAGCTGAAATAGACAGAGCCCAAAAAAATCTCAAAGAATTTTATTCGGTAAAAACCAATATTTGCCCCCCCCCCCCCCAACCCCCAAATCAACCTCTGACAGAGAAATATTTAATTACGTTTTTGAACAGGGGGATATATGCTGACTTCAAAGCACTGAACATTTTCATAAGCAATGACGTCATATGTTTGAAATGATGTCACGGAAATGACGTAAAGATCTTTAAAATTTCCATGATTTCTACAGGAAAATGTATGTATTACATGGATATTCTGAGTAAAAGTCACTGAGCGCAGGTCTGATCAGGCTCAATATTTTGATATGATGTGTAGAATGATAATATCAATGAAATATGTAAATATTGTTCCTGAGCAAACTTGCGCTCTATAAATTTTAAAGCTAAAATTGTTGAAATTTTGTCCATTTCGTCCTCTTTCTAAAAAATGATATAAAATTTGACTAGTTTGTGATGTCATAAAAACAAAAATTGTCAATAAACTACTTTGAAGCTATAATATGTTCTGTTAATTTATATTTCTCATACAATTTATAGATTTCAGCACATTTCAAGGATTTTTCAAAACTTGACTTTTGTGGGCCAGGCAAAGATATGCAGCATACCACATATACTTCTTTGTAAAAACTTTTTTTAATTTGAAAAATATGTAATTGGTTAAAAAAGCAAGAAATTTGGATACTGAAAAATTATTTCAAGCTTTTTTTAATAAATTATGAAAAAAACTTGGTCTTTATTCTTCATCTCTCTCATTTTTTCCCCCTATCATTTCCCTCTTACAGGAATCAAAATTTAAATTTATGCATTTTTACTTACTGAATTTTCATAATTTAACATGCATTTTAAAAAATCTTTACTGATATATCATGTTCCTTATTCTAAGTTTGAAGATGATCAGTCAAAAATCTATAGCGATATTTGTTACTAGCAATAAATTCATGGACATAAAAACTTATGCAGTACATGTATTTCAATTAAATCCATTCACCCCTTAATTGATAATCTACCCATCAATTTTAAACACAGCAAGTTCAAGACATTGATGTTTCCTACCTTTTGATTTCTCAAAAAAACCTTCTTTTTTTTTTTTCATGTCAACTTCCATTAGACTAATGTAACTATGGACTGTCAGTGTTACTTAGAACTAACATTTTCATCAAAGTCAGCGTCTGTGATAGATGAAAGAAAATATCTCCTGAAACTGTGACGTTACAATCAAGTTCATTGAAAAAATACAAATTGTCTGACAAGTAGCTCCAAAGGATCAATATACATAATCCAGCTAATCAGTTAAGTCCTGTCCATTAGTGTCAAACACAAAGAAAGGTCAAACATTCTTACTCCTCAATAAAAAGTCTGCCATATACTTTACATCAAACATGATCTTCATTTAATCTTCACGATGCAGTTACTGAAAATCAATAAACTAATGGATTGGTTCCCTAAACTTTTTTTTAGAAATAATGGAGAAGTGAAACATTAACACAGAAACATGAGAAAAGCAAGAGACAATGTTGAAAGGGTAAAACTGGTCTCTTTGTCAATTTCCTTGGCTATCAAATATGAAACTGCGGCACTAAATCTTTAAAAAAGCCAAGAAGGGTGTCATAGATAACAGCAAACCAGCATTGACATTGTGTTTCACAGCAGCCAAAAGTAAGGCTATCATAGATCACAAGAACACTGTAGATCAAAGCAAACCAATGATAAAACAAAACTAAGCATGAATGTAAAGCCAAAGAAAAAAAGTAATTTTCTTCTTGTTTAAAAAAAACTAAAGATAAATCCACAAGAAGATTGAAGTTAAATGAAAAAAACATAGCAGCTGAAGGTAAATGAAGAGAACAATAAAGCAAGTTAACAAAAACACATTTACTTTCAGCTATAAACAAGACTCGTGAACAAAAGCAACACAGATAAAGGCAATGGAACAATAACACATTGCCAATATAAAAGAAAACTGAAAAAGAACAATACTGATGAGTATAAATTAAACTGAACAAGAACAATTCAAATGGAGACAAGTGAACAAGAAGAATACAGATGAAGACAAGTGAACATGAACAATACACATGAGAACAAATTGAAAATGAACAAGAACTATGCAGCAAATACACAAGAACTACGCAGAAAATGAACAAGAACTATGCAGCAAATACACAAGAACTACACAAGCAAATACACAAGAACTACGCAGAAAATGAACAAGAACTATGCAGAAAATGAACAAGAACTTTGCAGCAAATGGACAAGAACTTTGCTGCAAATGAACAAGAACAATGCAGCAAAAGGACAAGTACTATGCTGCAAATGGACAAGACTACTCAGCAATTGAACAAGAACTTTGCAGCAAATGAACAAGACCTATGCATCAATAAACAAGAACTATGCAGCAATGAACAAGAACTTTGCAGCAAATGAACAAGAATTACACAGCAAATGAACAAGAACGATGCATCAATAAACAAGAACTATGCAGCAAATGAACAAGACATGAACAAGACTACATAGCAAAGGACAAGAACATTAGAGCAAATGAACAAGAACTACTCAGCAAATTTAGAAGAAAATGCTCATACCTATAAAACCAATTGACCAAATTAAAACAGCAGATAAAGAAGATCAAAGTAGATAAACAAGAACACTGCAGAAAGAACAATGCAGATAAATGCACAAGGATTAGAACAGGGCAGGTGAAGGAAGATGAAGAGGAGCAAAATATTCCAAAGCAAAGGAACACGAAACATTCAGATGAAAACAAGAACGTTTCAAAGCACGTGGAATGAATATAAGAACAATGCAAGAATACAAAAGATAAACATAACATACAAGAACAATCAAGACAAATTCAAAGGTGATCAAAGAATAGATCAACAAAAATTAAAGGTAAATGAGTGATTAAAGGTAAATAGATATAAAAACAAATCATTGACTTGATAAGTAAGATATCAGTCTTTATTAGTTCTTCTGCTCATATTTTTCAATCACCCCATTATAAATGGTTGTCATTGACGCTGTTCTACCTTTAATTGATTCTGTTCCCCAGCATACTCTATAGACTGGAATATCGTCCAGGTGCACCGCCTTCTGGCCTCCGTTCTTGCCAGATACCGCCGGTACCACTTCTGTATCAGCACCACCGAGCGAATCACTGTCAAAAATTAAAGTGTTAGGAGTTGAAAGCTTATCATTTAGCCTGTCTGTGTTTAATGTCATCGCTTTTTAGTATTTTCAAAACCACACAGTTTGCGGGGGTGGTGGTGGTGGTGGGGGATACTTCAATGATGAAATTCACCTTTATAAATGTATTTAGATGTGGTGCATTAAATGATTTTGGTTTAAAGCTGTCAATATGGGAAGGTTTTTTATGCACTTACTAATTAAAAAATTTTTAGGTACATACATGCATGTGCATGTACACCAGAAAATCCATATAATTATTACTTAGTTCCTTGCACTACTAGAATTGGACTTTTTTCCAAGCAGTAAGTATGCATCACTTTTTTTAAAAGCTTACAAAAGATTACGTAAAGACTAGGAGGCAGTAGACTCACCACTTTGTGACCTTGGAATTTCATCCTCCACTCGGACAGCATTAGATGAGGTACATCCCATTATAAGCTCAGTCCATTATATTCCTCTGACTGACTAGCTGGCTCCAAGGCATCACAGAAATACCTCCAACATTTCAAATCTGAAATCAACCAATCAAATCGATGCATGAATTTCTACTCATTTTCCTTGATTTTTAGATAATGGTTAAGGTTTTTCTTAAATATAATTCATTAAATGAACTAGAATATAGCAAAAGAATTCAATACAGAGGAAATATGTAATAATGTATCATTCTATAGATACTGATAATTACTCTCTGGACTGCTCAGCATTGGACAAATGTTTTCAAAGTGGTCTTTTTATTATCATAATACAATTAGTTTCTAATTCCTTTTAGCACTGGTTCCAACTTTAAATAAATAAAGGTCTCTGTGGACATTCATAAAATTTGATATAACGTCTAACTTAATTTTATAATGTATTGCTACAAAAGAAAATCAATACTTTCACATTTTTTTTCAACTTTAAAAATAAAATGGTGCAAACGAAATATATACCCTCCAAAATTTCAATAATTGTAAAATATTATTGTCTTATAGAAATGCATCAAAGTCAAATTCCTTTTAACATCTTTTACCCTAGCTAGCTTGTAAAGAAATAATTTTCTTGCACTTCATGTATATTTAGTCAAGTCCTTTCTAAATTCTGAGAGTTTTGGTTTTTCCATTTATTTTGGAATCTTGGAGGAAAACTTACTAGAGCATTAACACCAGAATTCTGATGCCACTACAAACTGACAGCCTATTTAACAAGACTTTTCCCGAGGTTTAAATTGTCAAACAGATACTGGGTTTTCTGAATTTTAAGCAATTTACGTGTTATTTCATGGTGAATACTTAGAAGAAACCTCTTTAAATTTGAATAAAGAATTACATTTAGAATTACAATTGTTCCATTGTAGAGAAAGTCATTTCCAAGTCTCAAAGTAGAATGTACATGTGAGATTTCTAAATATTCATCAGTAAGATCCCCCATTTATTGGTTTTAATTATCGTCAGTATAATCTCCCAATTCATCATTTTAGACAAATAATAATAATAAATATGTCAATCTCAAAGAGCAGTGGTGTAATCAAATACTAATAACCATGTTTTTAGCTGAATATACAGGGCTTGAAGTTTTTTTGTTTCTGTTATTATACGTTCCAGTAACGAGAGGAAATTAAGACTTTCTAAATTAAATATTGATTTTCTGTTCTTGTGGATAAAGACACCTCAGAAGTTATTATCAAGTAGTTTATATAATAATCTGATGGTCCTTCTGTAATCTAAGATTTACTAAATTAGTTATGTAGGTGCAAATCTAATTAATATTGAATATTTCTTAATATACAATGATTTGGGATTACTTTCAGATACATTACTTTGTCTTTAAGCATTTTTTGAACAGTCTGTCCTAAAATTGCTTATTTGATATCTAAACTGCAAAAGCAAAGGTTTTCATTTACCTAAATAAAGTCGGAACCCCCCCTTAAAAATATTAACAACTTTCTCGGAGAAGTCTCAAGTGTAAACCACTAGTGAATTTCTGGAAAAGTAAATCTAAAGCAAAAATGTGTTAAATCAAAACTTAAAATTAGATCAATTAACTTTTGTGATGAAGGTCAGCAATCATTTCGGTAATGATTTGACCATGTCTTTGGATAATAGATTTAAACATAGAAGTATTACTTGTTAAACATCAGATATTGAACCTTTTAAAAAATAACCAACATTACCAAAAATGCATTTGCAGATCTAGAACTGAGGGGTCTGGAATGTCCATGCCCCCCATTCCAATGGTAGACTGACCAAAAGAAAAAGATTTGGACTGACTTCCAGATCTGCACATGCCAAGAAATAGCATCAAAAAGATGCTTGAGTTTCTGAATGACAATATCTATGTGGTTTTTGGAGAACAGGTCTTCCAACAATCTATTGGAATTCCCATTGGTACCAATTGAGCTCCGTTATTAGCAGACCTATTTTTGTATTCATATGAAGCAGAATTTATGCAAAATCTTATGCGTGAAAGAAAGAAAACACTTGCTGTGGCCTTCAACTCAACATATAGATATATCAACAACATATTTTCAATTAACAATGGTTATTTCCATTCCTATGTCGATACGATATATCTTGGTGAGCTTGAGATAAAAGATACCACAGAGTCTGACACATCTGTTTCACACTTGGATATTTTACTTGAAAAAGATGTTTCACTTAATGGTAATCTAACAACCAAGCTCTATGATAAACATGATGACTTTAACTTTTCTATTGTCAACTTCCCTTACTTATGCAGCTTCACTTATATACCTTCATCACCTGCATACGGTGTTTATATATCTCAGTCGATTCGATACGCAAGAGCATGCTCTACATATGACCAATTTCTAAAACGAGGTAAATTATTGACAAACAAGTTGATGAAACAAGAATATCAGCAGTCTTATTTAAAGTTGTCATTTTGTAAGTTCTTTGGTCGATACAATGATACAATTTATCACTGAGTCAAATGCTGACTGACATTTTTCAATTACTAATTGTTAGTCCATTATTTATACACTGAATTGATGACGAATTTTTCTGTTATTTTCCGATCATGACAAGGAGCACACGCTGGGTGTGACTGGTCAGCAGGGGATGCTCACTCCTCCATGGCACCTGATCCCATCTCTGATGTTTTAGAAGTCCGTGTTTGCTCAGCTCCTATTTTGCATTGTTTTATGGACTTTGATATTAAATACTGTTCTTTATTTCCATATCCTTCATGTCCTTAATTGCACCTGCAGTTGTTTATGATGTCATAGTAAGCATATTGAGATATATTCATATACATTGTACTGTTATTTTATTTCTGGAAAATACAGAGCATCATTCTCCTACACATGTATACCGTGTAATATCGGAGTTCAGCCTCATGAAGGATGACGTTTTTAAATTCCAGGTCAACAAACTTTGACATTTTAATCAGTTAAAATATTTCTAAGTTTTAATCAAAGTATTCCTTTAAAGAAAGGTATTGAATATCAACATTTATTATCCCTTAATTTTCAATTTAATATCTTGACTTGTGATTAATAACAAAATGCATCTTCCAAGAATTTCAAGTATTTTCAGTAGAGATGTCAAAATTGTCAAGAATTAATATTCGAATATTCGATGGGAGTATTCGAATATATTCGAATATTCGATAAAATAAATACACCTTGCTTTATTAAATATATTTCTTTACTCTCCTGTCAAGTAGTATAGAGTTTATGCCATTATTTCAGAATAAAAACTTATGTAGAGTTTGGTAAATACACTGCAATTACATTTAAAAAAAATATTGAATAGTATACATCCCAAATGTAATGATAGTTTATAGAAAATTCAAAAGATTCTTTAGTATATTCCAGATTCATTGATAGTTTTACTTAAGTCTACACTGATAATTCCTACAAATTTATACCAAGTAGAACAATTATCTAACGCTGAAATATCAAAAGCAATTACCTTTTGCTAATTATAATTACCTGATAATGATTTTTAATGATTTTTACATAAACAAGGGGTCTGTGTGTTTACTGTAAAACTGTGTCCTTACACAATACAAGCTGATTGTAAGTACTGGAAACTATCATACTACTAATTAAGTGAACAAATAAATATATTACTCTAATAGATAAACTTTCCACACCTTTAAGATAATCCAAGAGGAGTATTTTTTTTTTGATTTTTACAAACTTTATTCAATTTCTGATAAAACTTGCCAGGTTTTCTCTCTTTTTTATAATTTTTTATGCTGAAAAACGAATATTCGAATCTTAAAATTATATTCGAATATCAACTCATCGAATGAATATTCGAATATTCGAATATTCGTTGACATCCCTAATTTTCAGTAAATTTAGAGCAATAGCTCTAGCAATCTAGAAATATGTCTAGCCACAGTCTAGGATAAGACATATGAATATCAACCCCAGGGATCACTATTTGTATAATTGTATGAAGTTTGTGAAATTATTATAAATACTGGTAGTTTCCTTAAAAATTGAGTTTTATAAACAATAAATGGCACAGTCAAAGTTTATGTGAAGGACAAGGAAAACAAGAGGCCCATGGGCTACATCGCTCACCTGAGCAATGTGGCTAGGAAAAAAGCAGAAATCAGTTTATTATATAAAAGTTTAAACCCAAAAGTGGTCCCAGCCAATCCGTAAAGGGGAGAGGGTATGATCTGAACAAACTTGAATCTACACTAATAAACTAAGGATGCTTGCATATTTCTTTGACTATCTGCAGCTTTATTGCACTTTACATTTGAACTTACATTGTGGCCCCGCCCTACCCCAGGGATCATCACTTGAGCAAACTTGAATCTGCACTATACCTGAGAATGCTTCCATATGAATATGACTAATCATGGCTTTCCCATTCTTGAAAAGAAGATTTTAAGATTTTTTTCGAAATGTTTCTATGTAAAACTTGGATTTCATGTTGTGGCCCCAACCTACCCCTGGGGTCATGATTTGAACAAACTTGAATCTCCACTACCTGAGGATGCTTCCATATATTAAATATGATCATTCATGCATTTGCTATTCTTGAAAAGAAGATTTTTAAAGAATTTTCCTTTATATTTCTATGTAAAAATTTGATTGGCCATTGTGGCCCCGCCCTACCCCTGGGGGTCATGATTTGAACAAACTTGAATCTACACTACCTGAGGATGCTTCCCTATAAGTTTCATCTTTCCTGGCACAGTGGTTCTTGAAAAGAAGTTTTTTAAAGAATTTTCCTATATATTTCTATGTAAAACTTTGATCCGCCATTGTGGCCCCGCCCTACCCCTGGGGGTCATGATTTGAACAAACTTGAATCTACACTATCTGAGGATGCTTCCATATAAATATGACCATTCATGCCTTTGCTATTCTTGAAAAGAAGATTTTTAAAGATTTCTAAATAAAACTTTCATCAGCTATTGTGGCCCCACCCTACCCATAGGGGTCTTGATTTGAACAAACCTGAATCTCCACTACCTGAGGATGCTTCCATATAAATATAATCATTCATGCATTTTCTATTCTTGAAAAGAAGTTTTTTAAAGAAT